ATTTATATATATATATATTTATATATATTTATATTTATTTTTTTTTTTTTTTTAATATATGATAACTCCAGAGCCTGGCCGAGCTCCCACCAGGATCCGCGCTAAGAGCCTCTCTGCGTCCGAGATGGAAGTGTCGTGGAAGGCTCTGCCCTGGAATGCCAGCAAGCGGCGAGTGCTAGGCTATGAGGTGAGGCCTGGCCCATTGGACATGTGGGTGTGTGTGTGTGTGTGTGTGTGTGTGTGTGTGTGTGAGCGACCAGCACTGCTGAATCTTGTTCTTCTCTATTATTGATGAGTGTTTCAGGCTCCTGCACCTTGGGCATGCGAGATAATAGCTTGCTGCATGCATAATGGTGGATCCCGGTCCCCAGCCTATGGGTTTAAGTGTGTTTCTCTTGTTGCTTACCTAAGTAGTACAATGAGGCCTGATTAGAGTAGTGAAGCAACACTCAGAGGGACACAGCGTTTAGCTTCTAATCCACACAACAAAGCAGTTTTAGACAGCAGCTTCAGGCTCACTTTGTTCATATCTTTTACTTATTCTCAAGGATCTGAAAAAAAATATTTCATTTGCATGAATTAATAAAACAATTTAAAAAATTATTCTTGAGAAACAAACAGTTTGTATTTGTAGCATTTTTAGGCTTGACCAGGGATCCTTTGGTCACCCTTTCTTTTAATTGTTTTCCTTTGTTACACTCCTTCATAGTTTAAAATAATATTTTGTAAATGAGATATGATGTTATAAAATTGATATAATATGTAAGCACACATTTTGATAAAATGGAATATGGAAGAATAGCATAAAGGGGTGGGAATTTTAAAAAGTGTAAACTTCTCTCTTATCAAAATGACTAAGTCTTGCATTTTGAAACATTGCTTTTTTGTGCCTGTGTTTATGTATGTATGTGTTATTTATTTTTTATTTTTTTATTGATTTATTCGAAACAAAGAATGCATCCAAACCACATCCCGTGCTGTGACATGCTGCTGTTTTCATACTGGTTCACATCTTCCATGTGGTCGAGTTCACATTTCCCTGTTTTCAGTTGGCTCTCCACTGACACTGTGGCAGCAGAAAGCTTTTAGGGTGCGCTCACCGTCTGCCCCCCGCTCTGCCCTGTTGGCCTTTCAGCTCAGGTATTGGAGTAGAAGCGAACGGGAGGAAACAGCCAGCGTGCAGAGGACCTCTGGGAATCAGACATCCACCGTCATCAGCGGCTTGAGAGGCAGCACAGCGTATCACATCTCAGTGAGGGCCTACAACACGGCTGGAACGGGCCCTCCCAGCACCACCGTCAACGTGACCACCAAAAAACCACGCAAGTACCACACTTAGTCTGAGCTCTGCATCCTCTAAAATGTCTGGAAAAAGTCCATGGATCTATTCATCTATAAAATTTGGTGATAATGATTCCCTAGCAGGTTGTACCTTCATTATACAGTTAATGTACTCAAGCTTCTGTTGTTCCTAAACATTTTAGCTAGCTGTGGGCACAGTTAGCTAAAATATTAGGTGCACTAGCCCTAAAGCACTAACACCAACACAGTATTTAGAAGTTGAATTTTTCCACCTATTTGTTTATTACCCCTGTAATTTTTTTCTTTGTAACTCATTCATTGGTTTGTGGTTTGCTCAACAAAGTTTCTTGGGGAAAAAAAGACAATATGAGGGGAGGAAATGGAACAGTCTTTACAAGTACAAAAATGTCTTTCAGAATTCCTAACCAAGGCGTCAACTCATAGAAACTTTATTCAACTAAATGTTTAAGAACTACCAAGTAAATTAGCTCCTTAGAATTTATTTGGAAAAATAAGTTTCAGGGAAGCTAGGTGTGCTAAATGTTAACAAAAGCACTATGAAAAAGTTAACTGCTGTTAGCGCATTAGTGGAATCTAAATTCGCAAATTTAAATATGTGAACCCAATTCTTCCCTTAACATTTTTTTTTAAAAAGCCCAAAATAATCATGGATCATTTACAGCCAATGGTGGATGTAAATGTCTGACTCACCATGCACAGTTTAAATGTCAAGCCTTTGTTTGAGGAGAATAATGTGGCCTCTTTCCTGGTAGCTCCCAGCCAGCCCCCGGTTAAAGTCATGTGGAACACATCAAACTCCAAGATCATCCTGAACTGGGAGCACGTCAAAGCCCTGGAGAACGAGTCCGAAGTGACCGGTTACAAAGTGAGCACATCGCTTTTTCACTCCATCAGAAAGTTCTGCCTGTTGCCATGGTGCGCCCAACTCTCCACTTAATCTCATTGGCAGGTGCTCTATAAGAAGAATCGACACAGCCGGCCCAGCGTCATGGAAACCAACACCACCTCGGTGGAGCTCGCTCTTCCCACCGACGAGGACTATATCATCCAGATAAAGCCGTTTGGAGAGGGAGGGGACGGCAGCAGCAGCAAACAGATCACAATTCCCAAGATACCAGGTCAGCAAAGAGCTAGCTGCTACTGCTAGCTAGTCCCACATGGCCCATTGGCCGTGTTATTGCCAGAACAGTTTGACCATTGTCTTCTCCAGATGAAGCCAGAGTAGGAAAAATATCTGCTGGATTAAAAATGACCCAGGAGGGTGGGTTAAATGCATCACCTCGCAAAATTATTTGTATATCTTGAACATTTCCTGATTGTGTCAACCACCATTTTGTATTTTTTCACAATATTATTTAATAAACCAACACATTAAGGGTGTTGGAGTGAATGAGGCTAAGTATAAACTTTTCAGTGTTTAAATTGTAAATTAATAAAAATCATGTTTTAGTATGTGGTGCAGTAAAGTAAAAGGAAAATATAATAGAAGTTGGTCTATCACATAAAATTATTAAATTACAATGAAGCTTGTGACTGTACTTAAGCCCATCGCAATAAGCAATTAATGAATTGCATGATAGATTAAAATAAGTGCAATAATTTTCATTCTCACGATTAATATCTTTTGAAGGGCAATTTTGTTTACAGAGTCTATTGATCCATTTTATTTATGGCTCCTGTTTTGTGTTGGTTTTATGTTTTTGTTTTGTTAATTGTTTTTGATTGTTGTGTTTTAGTTTGGATATTTAGAATATCTTCCAGTGCTACTGGTCTGTACGAAATTAATGTTTATTGTTCTTTGAGAGGACAAACTTGCATTATTATGCCATTATGAATATTCTACTTGAAAATTGTCTCAAAACAACAATATTATTGTTTATAGCAATAATTTCTAGGACAATTAATTGTCTAGGAAAATGTGTCCTTGGTTGTACAAAATGCGGGAAATGTTTAAACAATTTGAATCCTTATCTGTAGATGTAATTCTAGAAAGTGATTTTTTTTTCCTCAGTATGGATCCGACTAACATCCTTTCTGCTCTCCGTCCCCCTCCAGGCCCCAACGCGGTGGGCTCGGCCTCCAAGGTCTCCACGCTGTCGGCCCTCAGCACAATAGCTCTGTCTTTCACAGCACGAACATCTTTATGACAAATGGCTCACAGCAGACGTTGCATCTAACGTGGAGACAGCGGGAACACAAACGCAGCCCACTCCGGTGTAACTAGATCCATTCATTTAGATTTTAGCGGCAGAGGGAAGACACTGAGGGTAAAAATGTCCAAACACGCCATGGAGAGGACAGACAAGGAGTCCCTGTCAGCTACACAGGCCAGGTGAAAGAGATTGACCGATGTCGTGACTATGTTGTTACCAAAGCAACTTTCATAAAAGGAACATAAAGAAAAAAAAAGTCTTATATGCATCTTTTTGTATGACATGTTGAGCTTTTATAGATTTTTGTTTTCTTAATGGGTTTGTAGATGGCCTTGGCTTCAGGGGTGAGAACAACTGTTCTGCATGGAAAATGGTATTGTCCCGTTTTACAGTCTGAAAGTAAAGAACATGATTCAACAGTTCCCCATCTGTCTGTTAAGATAAAACACAATTTATAACTTTGAGATTTTAGTCTTTTCAGAAAGAAAGCACTGCTATAGGAGTTTCCACCAATTTGATATTTAATAAACAACTCAAAATTGAAAATGTTAAAAAACAAAAAAGGTAAACCCTCAAATCCCCATATACATATGAAATACACAAAGCTCTTGAAATTAGATAGGGTGTACTTTTTTTTTTTCAAAGACTATATGTAAACATCGTGCCCAGTTCACATTTTGGGCCGAGGTGTCACTTTTTCAGTGTAAAGGGAGGAGAAGCATCAGACTGTGAACGGTGATGCTTTATCGCCTCATAATCAGAAGCAAACAGCAAAACAAAGCTAACACTATCTTAAAATGATGGGAATAAACTACTTCAGTTTAGCTGCTGCAGAGTGAAAACATAAACAATTATTCCTCTGTTACTATTATACTCATATGACACAAACATTTGCCTATGAAATTATACACTCACTGTAATCATTTCTTCTGCCCAGAACAGGTTCAAGACGCCCAGCTGAAACTTAAACATAGAGTTCTTACAGTTCTTACAATAAATGTCTTACAGTGGACAGTCTGACAGTGGCCGCTGTCAGACTGTTGTTCAGTTTGGTGCCCTGTATTAACAGAGTTATATCATTGTAATTGTAAACATAAATTGGAATTAATCAAGTTAATTAATTAAGTCTAAACCTGTGAGCCAAACTTGGAGGATAACTACATTTTAAAGCTGGCTCTGTGTTGAGTAACCAACCGTTTAAAATAAACTGTGTACCATTTCTGATACAAAGAATAGTCAAATATTATGGTCAGAAAGATGTCAGAAGCTTGTTCATGGCAGCAGTTTTAGGGTTCTGTTGAGATGTGATCATTTCTGACTGACTCAGTCAGCTTTAAATCACAATTGCTTTAAATTAGAATTGTGTAGGATATAAAACTTGGATAACTGAAATCTATTGCTTAAGAGATGTGACAAGAGAGATCAAAAATCTTTAATCAAAAGAAAAAAAGTAGTCTCTTCATTGTCCTTAACTAATAAAGATTAGTGCTGTTGTTTAATGATTTTTTTAACTCTGAGATTTCCTTGTAATAACTCGGCTGACAGAGGAGAGTCTCATCAGTTTAGTTGGTGTTCTTCGGTGTCCCAAGTCTGCATTCAAACTGCTAAACTAATGTGTCCCAGACCACCTAAAATGGTCAAAGAGAAACCATCCTGAAAACATTTGGATTGCATTTCCACCCGTCATCAGGTACGATCAGATATCTTCGGACCGCAGTAACGCCACATCTGAAGCTTACAGTTTTCTCTTTGATTAAACAGAGATTGGTTTCCCAGCTAACACCTAGTGTCATCAAAGTGGAGGCCTGTGTGAGTTATTGGTTGGCCATAGCCACTTAGCAGAACCCTACATCAAAAACCCACTTCAAAGAACTATTCCTTTTTAAGTTTTTGGTGTCAGAAGTGACATCCAAGATACGAATGTTTTCAGAATCGCTTTTATTATGAGCGTAACCTGTCGCGTGAAGCAGTTCCCCTAAGATCTATAAGTAACTTAGTCTTAAAGTCTGATGTCTAAGCTGTTAAGAGGTGAAGAGAGAAACTATCTGAAGTTTTTTTTTTTTTTTTTTAATGCCAAATCTTCATTTGTTTATCCTCACTGTGCTGCAGAAGATTTGAGTATTCATATACTGAGACGTCCAAATCTTGCTTGCTGTCTTTTCTTATATTTGTGGACGAACAGTCCACCTGGGGTGAGAACCTTCAATGCACTATTTGTTCCCCTTAATTATTACCTAAATTAATCAAAAAGAAGATTGAGCTGCCATAATCTGGAGCATTGAGCATGCAGAGGTGGGTGAATCCTCATCAAGGCAGACAGGTAGGGCAGAACTAGACAAGAAATTTTATTCCAGCATTGCTACAATGTTTGAGTAGCAATTACATAATTGCTGCAGTGCAGTGTATGAGTCATTTTGAAGTTCCTTCATTTATGTCAAGGATTTTTTTCAGCATAAGACATTAATATAGACGAGGCTTAAGTTATTTATTTATGCATTTATTTATTTAAATCAGCATATTTAATACATTGTTAAAACTCATAGAAGACTCATAATAAAGTTATTGAGTTGTGGAATTATTTGTGATTCACTGAACCACAAATAATGAGTTTTGGATAGAAGGAATGATTATGGTGATTTTTGCCTCTTTGAACATAAAGACTATCAAGTCAAAGTCCAAGTAAAAGCTAAGTGGTAGAATACAAAAACTGAGAAATACTAGTAACCATTTTAAAAAGGTAGTTCAGATATATTGAAGTGAAGTTTTATGAAAATGTTAGAAAAAAACCTCAGTGGTGAAAGTCTGACTCTTAATGTCCCATATAGGAGGGCAAACAGTTTGTGTTCTGTGAGCCATGCAGGATGGTTGTGATTTCATAGTTGAGCGTTCCGATTGCCTGCATTCCTCCTGACAAATTCCTTCATTTCCTGCAATCCAAATGGATACTAATTAGCTTAATAAGCTATTTTGGCGCTTAGCCCCATGTCTTCCCCATCCCAGACAGCCACCGCACACGTTAGTGAGGCACAGAATGGTAGTGTAGCGTCCATGACTACTGTTTACGCTGAATCCCAACCTTATCAGCTCATTGCCACCTACAAAATATTTCAATGTTTCCCGCCGAGCATTTTACTGTGTCGCACAGTCGTAAAATGTTCCTTTGCGGAGAGATGTGTCCGGCATATGTCTGCTTTGAGTCTACCTCCAGTGTGTGTGGGAACCTTTGGTCTAACTGACCCATGCTAGCCGACTTGAACCACTGAGAACAACTCGATCTGTTGACATCAATGCTGTTATTACAGCTAACAGTTAAGTTTGTTTCTGTTTTCCCAGCTAAACAAAGTCTACAGTAGGCTGCATCTGCTAAGAGTGGGGATGTTATAGCAGGTTGTCACCTAGGTAACTGCATGGGACATGCGTCTCTGTGCCTTTTTCAGGATTTGTACTTGTCCACAAATTTTTCCAAAGGACTGACGATCAGGGTCGATGCAAACAACTTCATTTTCCTGAGAAAATATCATAAACTTAACAGTGGTTTCTAATCAAGTTATAGATGTTTAATATCTGCGTGTTGGATTCCACAAATCTGATCAAATTTAGTGTGATATGCTAAAACAAACTGATAGTCTTCCGTCCCCTCTAGAGTTTCTTCTCTTTACTACAAACTGCAATGCAATTTCTGTCAAGTAAATATACTATTGTTCCTAGGTTCGTAGAAATTCTTTAAAAATTCTGAATCAGCCCTTTAAAAATAGGCAAGATTAACATTGGACTACAGCATTAGCACATTTTTAGTGCCCATCCTCAAACACCAAAAACCTGATGACATGTTTAGACATGATGACAAAGGTTGGAAAAGCTTGCAGTGGAGGGCCTCTCTCCAGGGCCCTCCACCTTGGCCCCCTGAGCTCCATTGATTGCAGGACCCCCGTGGCTGTCTCTCATGCCCCTTGTTCTTTCAGTTAGCCCTGTGTCTAGAGCTCTTCTTTGCCTTCTGTGTGCCTCATCATATGTTCAGAATCCTCAGGTCCTTAAAGAGCCTTAACTTATCGCGAGAATATCAAAAACTAGAAGCATAGAATTTTGCAGCGGCAGCGGCGTTCAAGCGACATCGAACAATGCTAGGTTTGGGTTTGGAGGAGGAAGAGGGAAGCGACGTCCTTTGTCGACATTACAGAGGTTAGAAATGGGCAATTTATGAGAGCAGGTGTGTTTTTTAGGTGGATGTTATGAGTAAAGGACAATGCTGCTGATTCTTTCCTTTCTCCATCGTCTCCTGATGTGGGACTGCCGCGCTACTCGAAGAACGCTGCAGTCTCATTGTAGCTTGTAATCCAGTTAAGTAGTTTGTAGTACTTTGAAGAGAAATGTACTGTAGGCTACTGGGGATCATGCATCAAGAAATGTGTAAAATACAGTTTTGTACACTTCAGATCATTTATATAAAAAGAAACCTTTCTAAAGAGATGATTTACTCTGTTTTTATGTAAACGACTCTTGTTTCATACTGTAGTTAACTGTTGCTCAGCATGACTGTGCTCGTCGTCTCTACTGTCCACCTGCAAAGCGACTGAATGGCTTTAGGAACATGTGAGGTCCACATGTCTCTGTATGTTGAACCATTAACAGCCCTGTGTCTATGCTTCTGTCTGTCGGCCCTGCAGAGATGTACTGCTTTGACTGTCCGTATGCGCTCCGCAGGAGGCGTCCCTCTGTTGCTGTTTGTTGTTTATACCGTGTGAATAAAGATAACTGATTTATAGAACAACACCAAGCTGTGGGTCTCTTAATGCCAACATAAAGGAAGAGCTTGCTACAAAATCTACTGCAATGGTTTAGTTTTGGAGCTGGTCTCTAATGTCATGGAACGATGTATAGTATCATACATGAATGAATGTCATTTTTATTTTTTGGTTTTTTATGATTTTGTTCACCGTTTTCAGGTTTGAATGGTTTTTGAAACATGAATTTGACTTTAAAGCAATGCCTCACATTTCCATTAACCTGGAATAATTTACCTGTTGGAACATTCAAGCTTTAACCGTCCAGCTGTTCATCATAGATGAAGTGAAAGTCGGCGATGGTCCTCCTCTTTATCTAGCTAGTTAGGTTAGCTATTGAGACAACTATGTAGCTGTCTATTTATCTAGCTATATGGGACAGGTGTCCAACTGTCTCAGAAGTTTAAACCAGATAAATAAGCAGCTGGCTATTTACCAAGCTAGCTACACAGACAGGCAGATAGCTAGATAAAAGTAATCTTAACTCATTCTTTAATCTTTTTTTGTGTGAAGCAAGTTATTCATATTTATAACAAAGTGATAATATCAGCTTTTCCTCACTTTATTAAAGACAGTGTGTCATTGAGAATGACACATTGACTTTTTTCACTTTCACCAGTTACATGGCCTTTCCTTATGTTTTATCTATTAAGTGCATTTGCTGTTTGAAGTGAAACAGACAAAGGAGTGACGTTTCAATTATTTTGTCTGTTTCCTCTCAAACGTGTAACTCAGTGCTTCTCAATTCCAGTCCTCATGCCCCCCTTCTCTGCATGTTTTAGATGTGCCTCTACTCCAGAACAGCTGATTCAAATGATTGCATGACCATCAGGTACTGCAGAGGCCTGTTAATCACCAAAATATTGTGGCAGAAGGGAAACATCTAAGACATGCAGGGCAGGGGGGCTTGAGGACCGGAATTGAGAAACACTGGTGTAACTCAAAGGGGAAAGGAAGTTCCGAAGTACCTTTTAAACTATTCAGACCAATTAGCCTGAGATGTTCAGACATCTCAGGCTTCCATTAGCTCTGCATCCTGCAAGAAATGTAAAGCAACGTCATTCATTATTCATCTCTTCTCGGAAATGAATTCATGCCATGTTTTCACATTCTGTCACATTGGAAAAATAATCAATGTACTTTATTAGGAGTTTATGTGATAGACCAACACATGTATGTAAACTTGATCAAATATGGAGAAATTATACAGTATACAGTCAGTACCCCTCTATTTTTATCTTGGACCAGCTATCACAGAAATCCTCTTACAGTAAAAAAAAATAATAATGCTACAACAGAAAGTATTTGTCTTCAAAGTACCAGTTTTTGCATTTTTCTGCAAAAACCTTACTTGTGTGGTTGCAGCAAACTTTGCTGCATCTAATTAATGTAGTAAACATGAGTACATACAACAATTATTTTCATTGAAAGGGTGTCCTAAATCCTGATAAATTTTTTTGTACGGAATCGACTAAAGTGTGTTATATATATTTTTTCCTATTGATACTCAGAAAAAGTACAGCTACTTTTAATCCCTTGCTTGTTCAGCTCCAGAAAAGCCACTAGATGGCAGCAAGACCTTAGGAATATATGGTCTGCTGCTCTGCAGTCATTTTTGCCCATTTTGAACATTAAGAATTTTGCTCGTCGAATGTCACAAATTTCATAAGAAAGCAGCATGTTTAATGAAAACACACACACATATATATATATATATATATATATATATATATATATATATATATATATATATATATATATATATATATATATATATATATATATATCTCCCCCTCATATATATCCCTCATTGTAAAAGCCGAGACACAGTTTGAATCATAGTGACATTTATTTATGCAGGTTTGTTTCCTGTCGAAACTGAATGCAAACACAGGACATACACACCACCAAGCACTAGGGGAATGTAGAGCAAACGACAGTGGAGAACTGAAGGTGGAGGCTGAACGGTGCAGCGCTGAGTGAACCTCCTGATCCAGGATCTGTTCTGCCACAGTTTCAACAAAACGCTGAATTCTGAATCACCTCTTGTCCACTTTCTAAAGTCAGTAGTTCTTTCTGGTTCGCTTTGTTTCATCTCGGATGCTTTCAGCTGATGAGTGCTCCCATAAAATCAATTCCAAAACTTAAGGCACCCATTTTGTGTTCTTATCTCTATTGCACCTCTGTCCGTTAGATTATCACTTTCTGATCCATTCCATTTACACAAAGAATCCGGACCTTCGTCAGTTTGACTTCTCAATGCCTTCACTGAACTCGGCAGCGGTTTGCAGAAGCAAAGTGCTCTCACAACAGTCCAGTGTCATGTGACCGATAGAAAATAAAACAGTAAAATAGAATATACAAAGTCAGCAGGTTTAGAACCTCGTTTCCATGGACACGCCTACAGCAGGTCAACAGTTTCAGGTGGGGACGATGACACGATCACACGTGTTGGGGAAGCTCCTCGCTCCACAGCTGTTTCTCATTACTAGGTTTTGGTTACGCTTCGGTTCATGTGAGGGTTCACAGTTTTCTCCCTTCAGAGGACAGAGGATGCGAAAGATGGCGGCTTATTGCGGAACCTCACAAGCTGTTCGCCACACCGCCTCGGCTGACGGCACAGACTTAGAGGGTTAATAGGGGTAGGGGCGCCTCCGAGGGGGTTTTCATGTCTGATTTGTGATGCATAGAATTAAAGGTCACTCACTTATGGATATGTGTGACAGGGCATCTTTATTTGCGCCCACCTTTTCCTGTTTGACCCTTTTTGCCACATCACGACCACAGCACTCTAAACTGTGGAGATGTGTTCAAATGTGAGAGAGTTCTAGGGGGTTGAATACTTTTGCATGGTGTTGTATCTTTGGGGAGAACAGCTCCTTTCAAGCAAAAGTCCAAAGTCACAGCATAACTGGAGAGTTAATCCAACAGAAAGCAGAGAACATCGGCGATAATCTGTCACTTTTCAACTTTTCAGGGAGTATTTAAATAATATGATCCATCACAGTCGCTACTGTTATTTAACATACTGATTAATATTATCCTACCAGAACTTGGAATTGCGTCAGCTATTCATCATGTACAAGGTTAGCAGAATAAACATGGTAGGGAATCCGTTAAAGAGTAACATATTTATCGTAGGATATAACCAGAACATACTGCGTACTGGACAGACACAAGACTTTCAATTAATACTAGTTTTGTCTCAAAAAAAAAAAAAATCAGAGAACTTAAATAAATGTGGACAAAATGTAGACATATTTCAAGGGGTTGAAGTAGCGCACACACCTCAAAATTGCAGATAACGCGGAAGAAAAGGCTTTTCTGGGGTTGCATTTCATATAAACAAAACATACTTCATACTGGACAGACACGAGGCTTTTAATTAATGTTTGTTTTGAGCCATGAAATCTGAGAAATAAATATGGACAAACATTAAGGGATCTCAGCTGGCAATTAGTAGCACACACCTCCAAATTGTGCATAACCTGCAGGAAGAGGCTTCTTTGAGCTGCAGTTCAATAAAATATGCTTACAGTTAGTGCTGGAGCTATATGGACTGCAAAATCTCAAGAACAACTAAGGACAGCTTTCTTCGTGAGACAGGAGACAGACTTTCATGGCCTGACAACCTTGAATATGACGGCAGCGTGGGAAAAGTTTAAAGTAGTAAAGTATTTCTCAACTAAATTATTTTGTAAAAAACAAAATGAGATTTATAAAAGTGATTAATTGTTCTGCATTAGTTTCCAAACTGGTCATTTCTGTAAGTGTGCGCCAGGAGGCTGAAATTAAAAGTATTTTGAAAAGTATACTCTGTTAAATCATAAAGGTGGAAAATTTCACTGTTTTATTTTTTTTTCAAACTGTAAAGTTTTAAAACCTTTTGTAGCTTGATGGCCATAACTGGCCCATGCCTAGCGACGTCTCTTTAAGATGCGCTAACTTCCAGTGTATCAGCATCAAGACAAAGGGAACAAAAAAGATCACTGCAATATTCAAAAAATACAAGAAGTTCAGGTTAAACCAAAGTCAAGTAAGTAAAAAGTAAAAATATACCATCAAATTTGTAAAACTTAGAACACGTAATATTTATATTAAAAATTCCTCTACAAATCCTAAGACGGTGAGCAGCGCTGCCTTTGTTGCCGTCACCTAAAGCTAAACAGTCATGTTGGGATGAGGATGTTTGGTTCCTGGAGGCTGGACCAGATCCAGCAGCTCAACCAACCGTCAGCGTTTCTATGGGCCGCGTCTCTGCAGGGCTTTAATATGTGTTCTCATTCCCTCTGCTATTATTATTTGAATCATGCAGATTATAATCATCTGATATAATTCATAAACAGGCAAACACAGAACATAAATTAGATCCTCTATAGGTAAAAATGTAAAAAGCTAATAAGACAGCAGTTTATTGAACCCGAAGCGAGGAGGAGGAAGTGACGGCAGTCGTTCAAACAGGAAGCAGTTCCATTTCTGAGGTGGTGGGGGTGTCCGATTCGGCGCTGAATCTTCCAAACTGAAGATGGTTTCCCATTCTCGAAGGAGCTAGTGGGCTTGAATGGTCCTGGAGGGGGTCAGGAGTGAGTGGGAGGTGTCCAGGCCGGGTCACAGTTGGTTTAGTCTAAAGGGACAGGAGAGGAGATCTGCTGCTTCATGGAAGGCAGTTTCTTCAGGTGTCTGTGTGTCACAGGGTGGGGGGGCAGAAGGGTGGTGGCATGCTGCTTGGTGGGGCAGGAGACTCTCTGCTGGAGGATCCTCTCCTGCCCCCCCCCATCATGTCCTGGGATCAGGACTGCAGAGAGACAAAAATGAAGAACCTGAAAAACTTTGTAGAAGGTTCTGGACAGTGTTTGATGTTTTCTGTGATTCATTCTAACTTCCTTAAAGGGGCAGCATTATGTTATTATCCAGGCACATAGTGTCATCATAAAGCACTATCAAGAAACTCTGTTACCTTCAGCTGCACATATATTTTACAAAAATGTTTCCTTTTGTATTTGTTCAAACTGGCACCATGTTTGTTATGAAAAGATCGATCTCCTGCCTGAGCTACGCACCGCTCCCAACCAAAATCAACCAATCAGAGCCAGATGGCACATCTTAGCGCTGTCAATCAATCTCAATGTGCTAAGGACAGAGAAACAACTTACTGTTACAGCAAACTGTTTACCCACTGTCTTCGGTGGATATGTTAACTAGCCTAATGTTGTAATGAACAACATTAGGCTGTTCTCTGCAACAACATTACAGAGAGCAAGAGGGAGTGGTTGTCATAAGTTTATTACGTCTTCCTACTCCTTTGAGCATGTTAGGATTATTGTGGTACAAAAAATATGTCTTCTTTTGCAATCCTTGTTCATGTGTTATTTTATACTGCTATCATGTTCGAAATAAATAAATAAATAAATAAATAAATAAATAAATAAATAAATAAATAAATAAATAAAAGTAGATTAAAGGATTTCTCAAACATGCATAAAAGAATCAAGGAAACACTGCAGGTATGTTTTTGATAAGGGAATAACATTATAAAAAGTTGAATTTACACAAAACTGCCCCTTTAGCTGTAACAATGGGCAAAAAGATGGATGGAATATTTACACAACAGTACAGAAGAGGTAAAGATGGCCTACCTCTGCTCTCCGCTGCTCCTCTGTGGGAGACTCTGTTTCCCTGATGACCACTGCTTTTGTCACCAGCATGTCGGGATGCTGCTGCTTGGCCTCCTGGATCGCCATGGCGAGCGCCTGGAGCCAGAGAAACCCCAGCACACAGGTCAGCATCCCGACACAGGTCAGCTTTCAGACACAAAGAGCAGATGTCTCCAGGACTCTGGCTCTCACCTGATGCTGGTCCACATCGTCGTCTCCTGTGATTATGATCCTCTTTTCGATTCTGGTCTCTGAGTAGCCTCCTTTCACAGTCTGAAGTGCACAGAACCACCAGGGTCAGGCAACATCACACTTAATGAAAAGTATCCAACCAACTTAGGCTTTTCCAAATTTTGTCACATTACAGCCACAAACTGGAATGTATTTTACTGGTGAGCTTTTAACAACTAGCTGTGTTTCCATTATAAATGTGCGTAAAACTTTAATCAATTTCCCCCGATGTAAAAAAAAAAAAAAAAAAAAAAACTATTTCACAATTGTGGTGTTAAGATTAAATAACAAGTGAAGCCATCATCCTCGCTTGTTCTTGTTCTTTGTTATTTCTGCCAGTAGTAACATC